TCTAGAGTAAAAAGGCTTCACTTCTGTGCGGAAAGGATTAGCAGGCTCTCCTCCTTTCTTGTAGCCAGCACTTTCTTGTTGAACAGATTGCTGGTTGGAAGAAGGGGAAGGTAGTTCTCTTCATGTCTTGCAGAAAGCTCAAGTATCATGGTGGGGAAAATAAGTTCCTCTTTAAAGAAGAACACACTTTCTGGCAATCAAACCAGAAATGGAACATTGGTCACCTGAGATTTGCTGTAGAAAGCACCATCTTCTCCTAGCCCATCACCAGGCGCAAGCATGCTCTGAATTACAGGCAGGAATATCGATAACCAAGGCTTGCTGTGGGAAATATTGAGAGTCTATGCCCACTACAGTCCCCCCGCACCCTCCGCTCAGAATCCCCTTGGTTTAAAAACTAAACAAACTGGAGAGTCAAAACTGCAGCAGCACAACTGGCACTGATAAAATTGGACTCTTCATGGGAATGGTTCCATGTGATGTACCTTGAATACATCCAGCTGATACTTACAGGCAAGTATTCTGAAGGATAAAATGGTATCATTTATCCATACAATCCCATTCAACTTCGCTACAGGCAACATATCTGACAAGAGACATTGACTCGCTAGTCAATGAAAACTAATAAATGATGTGTAAAAAAAGCCCATTTAAAATAAAAATATTTTTTTTCCTTCTTCCTTTCTTCCTCTTTCTCCTTTTTCTTCTTCTTGCTATATTAACTCAGCCTTTCCAATTCCAGCCTATACCTGATTATCTGAAGTGTATTGGTTTCAGTCTGATGCTGAGGGCAACCAAGCCTAAAGGGCAGTTAGATTTCTAGAATACATATAGATTAACAGAATGGTCTCACACATGGAGTCTGGGGAAAGAGAGAACATGAATCATTAGGTCTAAAGACAAGGCTGGCTTTCCTCCTCCTGGATCACAGATAGCACCAGGTGACCGAGTGCTGCCTCTTGCATGCATCACAGTTTCAGGGCAGGGGTGAGTGGAGGGAGGAATCACTGCATAAATAATTAAACCAGGCAAGGGAATGAGACTATTATGAGAAAATAAGGGGAGTAAGATACACTACTCAGAAGAGACAGCTGGAGAACTGTGACTCAAATCATAAATGGAGCAGGAAATGCCATTCAGGAGAACTCTGCCTAATCACATGGACACAAAAGAAACAACCTTTCTGCTCCACAAACCCTCCTCTCAGAAATACCAGTTTGCCAAAGGAATCATTTGGTCTCACCTGGACTACCAACTCTGAGAAATATCGCATACAAATTGCTACTATTTGCTATATAGTGAATTTCTTGTGATATCACAAAGATCCCACATGGAGCTAAAATGCAAAACTGCACATGCTCGAACTCAGCACCTTGCCAGGGGTTGCTAAACCTATGATGAGGCTGTAGTGCATGAGGCCATTTTCACTATGTAATCCTCATTCAGGGAATGTCGTGCAGAGCATGGATTATGGAAGGGTTAAACATCTGTTTTAGGGCAACGAACATGATGTTTAGCACTTGTATAACCCACGCATTAGGTTCATATGGCACAACCTGCAAGTGGGGGTTGCATATGAAATTGGGCACCTGTGGACCCCATAGCCCATTGTGACCTTAATAACTACAGTGAGTCTGTGGCAAGTCCTTTGACCCCACTCCGTGCATTTCTTGAGCTACTTAACTCTGATCCACTCTGTAGCTACTGTAAACTTCATATACATAATAGCTGTTCAGAAACTAGTCATCCTACCATCGTAAATCTTGTGAGCATCTCTGTCCAAGGAATATTACGCCTTTATGAAGCTCTTGCAACTAAGTTGTATGTAAGTCTAAGCACATCTAGGACTGTGCCCCCTGTGTGACTGCAACAGATGCACACACAGGTTGCTCTTGTCTGTTGCTGCCAAGTTCATAATGAGGAACCTATACTTGTATAGAGTAGCTTTGGAATCAGTAACATTTTTAGTTTTCATTATTAAAAGATGGGCAATCATCCACATGTTAATACCTGTGTGTGTGTGTGTGTGTGTGTGTGTGTGTGCGCGTGCACACACACACACACACACACAGCTATCAGTGTTCCCTTGAAATAGTGCCACCATTTCAAGGATATTTTTAAAAAACAACACAAACACACAAATTTCCTTTGGACAGTACGTGTGCCCCTCCCACATTATTAGTGCAATCCTATGAATGTATCCAGATGTAAGAAAAAGAAAAAAGGAAAAAGCAGTCAGTGAGCGGGTGGGGGAAACAGATTCCAAAAGGGCTATCCTCAGTGAGCTGCTCCAGCTTCCGGCCCAGTATAATTATCAATCTACTGGCGCACCTGAATGACCACTCGGAGAGTAGCAGGTGGCAACAGCAGCAGACGCAAACTTGGTTTATTCCTGCAGTCATGGCAGTGCTATGATTGGAGTAGAACTGCAAACTGCACCTTTTGATTTTGAACACTGCTCAAAGAGCCCTGGCTAGTGGGTGGAATATACATGTAACAAATAAACAAATGAAGCACCAGGAATGTAGAACCAGTTGTAAAGCATGGAAGGGTAGTTGCGGGTGGGGTGGGAAAGAAATGCTAGTTGTGTCCTTCACAGCAGCAGTAACAGATAGAAGCAGCAATAGGAAAACACAAGGCAGTTTTAAATGGACAATGCCATGATCTGGACTCCCCCACGCAATATATATATATGTGTGTGTGTGTGTGTGTGTGTGTGTGAAAAGAACATGGTGATTGCACAATAAAAAGTCTGGTCTGGACGTATCCTGGGACTTGATTCACTGCCACCATAGAGACTCAACATAGCTTTGAAATATGCTGGTGCAAGGGAAAAACTGAGCTTAAGGGAGCTCAGGGCAATTTAATAAAGGCAGGAGTTTACTGGAATGCTGCATTAGAGCTTAAAGGCACAATCTTGTGCATGTTCAGGCAGAAAAAAGCCTACCACTCCCAGCATTTGCCAGCTGACATGTCTGGCTGGAGAATGCTGGGAACTGTAGGACTTTTTCTGTCTAAACATCCAGAAGACTGTGCTCTTAAACGTATAAAGAGATAAAGAGGTATAGGGATGTCAAGTTTAATGACTCTTTTAATAATAGCTCTTTTCTGCTGCCAGATCATTTAAAACATTTTTAGAGGGGTCAATGGCTTACATTTTTAAGGCATTCACTACTGCCCCCCTGCCAAAGCTTTTATGTCTTTCATAGCAGCCTGACATCCAAAGATTTAACAAGACTCTTCCAACAAGAAGATAAAGGGAAGAGAAAATGTTAATCTGCTTGTTTACTTTTTGTTATTTTCTTTATGACTGCTGTCAAAGGCAGTGGTAATATGTATTTCTCTGTTAGGTTGGTATACTAAGCAATTGGCAAATACTCTCAAGGCAGTTTACAGTGGCTAAAAAAAAGTAACAGTAAAATAACCACACCAAAAATCCAACAATAACTGCATCAAAGTAATATAATATAAAACATCAATATTAAAAACATTAAGGAGCCAGTATTAAAGTTAATATTCAGAGCAACATATTAAAGATTAGTACCTGCAGGAAGAGGAAGATCTTAACCTGACAGCTAACTATACACAGTGTGTATACTGTTTTAAAAAAGGTAGTAGCCTTATTTTTCCACCTAATAGCAATGCTGCTGCATCACACACACAGGTCAAACCAGCCACAAAACAGACACAAATATGAGATAAGAAAAGTCACATCCAGAATCCAGTGGTGGAGCATTTTCAAACTCTCAAAGACACTTTTGCTAACCTGAAACTGAAAATCACCATAATTAAACAATGAAATATGAATTAAATTTCAGCATGAAATTCCAGAATGACAATTCATGTTTACTTTGTACTCTTTATCTGACCTCAGACCAAGCTTTTGCATTCCCTTGTCATTTGACTCCATGGGCTCCAGTCCTTGAACATTTACACCATTTGTTTTGTTTTAGTCATGTCTAGCAGCCTTTTACAGCATTTTTTTAAAAAAAAATCATATTAATAGTGGAAATTACTTTTGAGTAAGCATGCATAACATCATTTTATGCAGGTGTATTTTGCAGTTCTACAGTTCTGCATATCAGATTCCTTTCTCCTTTAAAAATACAAATTTAAAATCTAATAACCTCCAATACCACAAGGACATCAAGAGGCACAAAGCATAGGCAGCGTTATCAACGTGATGGGCCAGCTTCCTTCCTTTTAACACCAGTTAACAGTACAAGATTTAGCAGATGCAAGACCTTCAGACAGAGGGACCCCCCTCCCCCTCCCCCCGTTTACTAGATGTAATTGTTATGCTTGTCGTGCAAGAGTTCAAGGCACAGGACGAAGGGCATAGCAATGAGAGAAGGAAGAAGGTTGACACGATCTCTCATTCTTTTCTTGAATTAGAGACCATCGGTGTAATCTTATACATGTATGCTTAGTACTAAATCCACTAAAGTGAATGGGGCTTACACCCAGGTAAGTGATTACACCAGGGCAAGCTGAATCCTCGTCCTCTAGCATAGGCATCTTTTAGCGAAGAAAAAAAGGAGACAAATCTATGCCAATGTGGCAAACCCGGCAGGAATTCTAAGAGCCGCTCCTGCCTACACAGGGAATTCCATGAAGCACAAGTCGAAAACCTCCCGGGAGAGACTCTCTACTTCAAGCTTACTTCCGGGTTTCTACTCCTCTACGCACGCGCAGAGCCTTATCTGCCTCACCCCGGACCCAATCACTTTCGACCGTACCATTGGTAGATAATAGCGCAGGGGATAACAGGTCATTTTCTAAATGCCATCCTTGAGTTCATTTGCCTCTGAACTCTTTCTGCTGTAACCTCAGAGCAGTTTCAGTTTTCATAATTATTGGCTGTTGCGACCTTAGACCTCCCGTCTCTTCTTAATAGCGCCCACCTATTACGCCACGTTGGTACGCTCCTCTCCCAGCCGATCCTGCGGCCGGGCAAGACCACCCTACTCGCCTTAGGGGGAGGAGCTGAGGGCATTGTTGGGTCAGGGGGCGCGCGCTGCCCGTGGGGGTGGCGTGTTGCGGGCCCGTCACAATCCCCGAGTAGCCGCCGCCCGCTGCTCAGTGTCAACTCAAGCACCACAGGGCGCGGCTGCCTCCTTTGCCGCCGCCGCCGCCGCTTCGCCGCCGCCGCCGCCGCCGCCGCCGCCTCCTGCTTAACCACCCACCCACCTAGCCATCGCCGCAGTGGTAGCGTCCGACTCCAGCTGACCGGCCTGGAATCCCGGCTTCGAGCCCTGGCCTGGACCCTCCGCCCTGAGCTACCCCTTCCCCTACCCCAGCCCTGAGACCTGGTGCCGCCGCCGCCATGGGAGACGCCGGCAGCGAGCGCAGCAAAGCCCCGAGCTTGCCGCCCCGTTGCCCCTGCGGGTTTTGGGGGTGAGTACGTGGTCGAGGGAGGAGGGGAAAGGGCCCGGCCGGTCGGCCGGCCGACTGGCCTGTCTGCCTGAGGCTGGGCGTGGGGCGTCTGCTGGCTTTCCCAGTCCAGGGGAGTGGTTGGTGAACGAGGGCCCCGGTTTGGCCTGGTGGCGCAGGGAATGAGGCCGGGCCAGGCGGAGCGGAAGGGCTGAGAAGGAGCGTCATATTTTTCTTGGCCTTTCCTAAAGGTTAGGGGCCCTCCTCCTCCTCAGAGGAGGGGCGCCGTTCTCCTGTCACAGGGATCCGTTCTCGAGACCTGTGTCAGCCGTACACATCACAGCGGTGGGGAGGTCGGGGCCTGATGGCCTAGGCCGTCCTATGGAAAGGGTGCGGCGGGTGCCTGGAAGGTGGGGGGAGGGAGGTGGCAAAGAAAACCACAGAGATTGCCCTTTCCTACTTCACCAGGATCCTACCTCCTTACTCCTTTACCCCCCACTCTTGTTCCGTGATTCAGTCTACAGGCTGCCTGTTTCTTCTCTTGGTTTTGACCGTTCTCCTGAAATATACTGCTATGTAATTCTCAGGTATTGCAATATGTCAACTTTGTCTTACTTCCCCAGGTATGGCAGGTTTCTGTTTCCTTCACTGTTCTTCGTAGAAATGACAGAGGACTTTCCCCAAAGGAGTGGTTTCAAATCCTTGTTTCCTCCTTTTTCCTTATCTGCTGTTCCCACCATCCAAAACTAATGAGAATATTTGTTCCAGCCTTAAGCTTGTCTGCTGAATAATAATGGCATGAACAGTGTGAGGACAATGGCACTTGTACAGAAGAATGTTTTCTTTCTTCTTGGCCTGAAGGCAAAGATCTGGTTTGCATAACAGGATGACCCACCATGAGCAACTAGCTGTTTTTCATCAACAACCCCTGGCTTGTTTTAGGATTGTGCTTATCCATAATGGGTTGTCTTGCCATCCATATCTGGCCAGGTGCCTTCATTGTGGCTTGTGGGCAATGACTAGAGCACCATGTTTCCCTTGGCAGGTAGGTGCTGGGCTGGGACCCTAGCAACTGGTGCATATAAACTTAGATGTTGTCTGAAGTTGTCTTGGACAGTGGAAAGCTGATCAGGCAAGACTGCACATATCTGATAGTTGTAAGTGTGCAGTTATGAAAGGCTAGCAATAATTTTTTAAACAATACGCTTTTCAGGGGCTGAAAAAAATGACCCTGGTTGTTCCCTTTATGAGGCTCAAAAATAATTAAAAAAAAAACCCAGAACAAAATGGTGGCAGACAGTGAGCAGATTGAGGGCAGGTGGAGGGAGACAGGATGGTTTCTGTCATGAATGAGTATGGAGGACTGGAGAGGAAGAAGGGGGAGACCATTCTATAGTAGGCCTGATTGTCAGTCAGGCACACCATGGATTGCTCAGTGAGCAACCAACCCACTGTGGATTATTGGTAGGTGGGTTAACATGGTGTGAATATGTCCAGTGTGATTATCTTTCCTCTGAAGAGCTTGTAACGCCCTCCCTTTAAATGTTATTCATTTGTCCTATAAAACAAAGCAAGGATGCTTAATACCTGTGGTGAAGATCTTGACTTTTTGTTAATCTGATCCTTCCCCCCCCCCCCCCCGCTTTGGCAGAATGTAAGTGCCTGGGAGAATCTTTATGTAGCTGAGGGCAAAGGTTGGACAGGACAGCCTAGCCCACCCCCCACCCCTGGATGTTGCTCACCCTATCAACAGAGGCATCTTGAAAGGGAAAATTTGGGATAACACTGTTAACTGATTTAGTAAAATAAGCCATCAGTAGTCATTGTGTGGCCTTGAAGTGGTAAGATGAATATAAACAAAGTTCTACACAGGAATTGAGATAAATGGCTGTTTTCCCCTGGTGTAGCAGAACTTCTCCATCCTTTTCTGCATCCTGCTTTGTGCCTCAAATCTACTCCTCTTGCCCTCAGAACAAATTTTGTGTGTGTAGTGGCCTTCAGGGAGGAGTGGGAAATCTGTTTCTCTAGTGGTTTCCATCCCACTAGTGAGTGACCAGTGATGGATCCTACTGGCTGTGTATGTAATGGAGGTGATGCACTTCAAAAAAGTATTTAGCATCTAAGTGGAATTTATAAAATAGTGTTCTCACTTGCATCCAGGAAAAGATAACGCTATAACGGATTTGTTAATCTATAAGATGCCACAGGGCTTTTACTGCATTTACCTCAAATGTGTTGAGAAAGATAATGAAGAGTTATCTGTATATTTGTGGGCACAATGTAATGTTTCTGAAAACACTTATTCAACTGGTTGCCCATGGTGAGTAGGAGTTTCTTCTAGATAGGAAAGCATTTGTATTTTGGATCATTTACCTTTTTCTAATGACATAGGTTGTTAACACCTCTGGGTACATTAGTAACTAACAGTATAGATCAGTAAATGTCATTGTGCAATTACAGCTTGAGAGAACTTGGTGCCTTAAACTTGATTTATTCAAGGAATGGCCATTTCAGCTAAGGGATGTTGGTAATAGAAATGTTCAATATGTGATTTAAGAGACCTCAGTTGCTTTCAGTTTGCTGAACTCAGGTTACCTGGATAAGTTTTTGCTATAGCTTTAAATATTTCATAAAGAAAATACATAATTTATGCAAGTTCTGTTTCCAAAGATGTTTAAAACTAAGAGGTCCTTTAATCTGTATTTATATAATCTGTATGCAGTGGTTTATCATGCTGTACTTTTATACTATTGAGAAATAATCTCATTTTTTTGCACCTCCCTTAGCTTGTGCTCACCTTAGTTCCTCTGACTCTTCTGTAAAGGTTATGGTTTCTATGTGCCTCATTCTTATTTAATGCTATTTAAAGTGTGTTACTTAAAGTGTGTTAATATCTCAGATTGAACACACCCCACACACGTATTCATAAAGTGAAAACTGGAAAAGGTCAAATTCTCTATTTGATATATATATATATAGAGAGAGAGAGACTATCTTTGTACATTTCAAGTTAAAATTTTATCTGGGGACAAACTGGATGTACTAGGATGATTGTTCCTGTTCTCCCCATCTTTTTGCTTGAAGGCCTAATTAATGATAGGGGAAAGAAAACATAACTAATGCAGCCTATACCAATATATATTTATGTGGCTAACTTTAAAAACTGTTTTCAACACTATGATAACCTACAATGGTTGCCTTGGTTTTGTATTCGTTTCAGTCTGAAAGTTTTAATCATTTTCTTCACTTTTAGGTTGGTTGTCTGAAGGACTTTTAAATGTTGCACATCTGTTATATCAGCAGGGATGATAGCCCCTAACCCAAAGTAGTACTGGAAATAATAGCACATAGGGACAGAATTTTTGTTGTATAAAAAGCTTAAGAGACAAGCTGCATTTTGAATTGAAATGTTTTGGCTATTCAGCAGTAAAAACTTCAAATAAACCTTCAGTTGCATGTGTACTTCTTCCTGTATATAATTTTGATTATTACATTGTAGCTATAAATTTTTGAATAGCATTACAGAAGAGTGAGATGCAATTTGGTGATTCATAATATTAATGAGTAAAATTCCCTTCTGGATTGTCTTGTGTATTCCTGCCTTACAGTAGTTGTGTGCTATTCATTTTTCTTAGACTATGTAAGAGACTTCAACAGGACTTTATCAGGTCTTGCTGATTTGTTACATAAATATATCATATTCATCTAGTTTTGTTTGAATCTGACTGATTCAGCTTTCTTGCACTTTCTTGCACTTGATCCATTTTCAGGCAGGTGCTTATTACAGACAAAACTGTTGCTTTTATTTATATGTTTGATTGCTTCTTAACTGTCTAACTAGTTCTTTGAGAATCCCAGAATAAACCACTTCAAGATCTAAACAGCCAGTTTTCTTCTTACAAGAATTGTAGGACTCCAAATAATTCAAAATGACATAATGACCACATTGAACTACTACTACCTTGAAATCCTCCCTGGCCCTTCTTTTTTGTTTCTACATCTTCCTGGTGCTCCCTTTACTTGTTTATTTTCCTTTAAAAACAGGCAAAACCCAAAAAACATTAAGCAACTTGTTTGTCTTGAATGGCACACCTTTCTTAGAGCACAGTGATTCTGTGTTGTCCATTTACTGTGCAGAATTAAGCTCCACTGTGGTCAGTGAGAGCTTAGACCCATGTCTATACGTAGGATCGCTGCCTAAGTAACAGTCATTCGGACTTAATGTTGATTGACTGTCACCTTTGGCTCATCTGAGGTGTGCTGCTGGTCATGCATTAAGACTGCACACCTGCTGTTTCTGCAGCTCCCCCATCCCAATAAATAAATAAATCAATCAAAGTGAGTTCTGTTCCTCAACATCACCTCTTAAGATATGTGGTAGGTGCTGGGATGGACTGTAAGGGAGGAGGAATTACAAAGGCCAGACAGCTTCAATTGTTGAGCTTTCTGAGATATGAAATAGGGTAAACTGACTTGTTTATATGTATACTTCTGTGAATGTAAGACAGTGTTTCTTTGCACTTGGTTATTGTAGGGCCTGTGCCTGTTTTCAAGCCAAGCTAAACCAAATCCCAGAATAGCGTAGATCCAGCTACATAAACATGCTTTTCCTGTGCTATATGGCATAGCTGTCAACATTAGAGACTGGAGACTGTCTGGCTAAGATCAGAGGTAGGAAACGACAAAAGTTGGTGTTTGTATTGACATAATTTGATACAAGAGACACCAACTTTAAAATACATTGAAGGCAACTGGGGAATGTTCTGGTATAATAATACATATCCAGACTTGGATATGTTAACTTCTCTTACTCATTTTTCCTCTCTCACTGTGTGTGTTCACATGCCTGCATGCCTGTATTTTTTTTCCTTAACTGTTATTCATGTTTCTTCTTGAGCCTAAATTGCATGTCCAAGGGTATCTTGAAAGGTGTCTTCATACTAACATGTGGAGATTGAGGTGTATTTAGAATTATTTGATAGTTTTGAGAATAAGAAACTAGTTGCAAGTTTTAGTATTTGAAT